AAACAATTAAAAATTATAATCAAGCATATGATAAAGATAGTTTGACGACAGTAAATAAAATATATTCATAACCAATTACATGTTTGACGACACATTTATACACTATTTTTCTATACCGGCTCTCTCCAAGAGGGGAGATCATAGCCAAAACAAAAGTAGGGAAATCACTCTTGAGAAACAAACAAGAAAAAAAGTGAAATTGAGGCTAAATTGGTAATGTCTTGTCATTTTAAATGAAGTAACAAATAATTAATAATAATATATTTAATGTAATTTTATATAGAAGAATCCAGATAAATACATATTCCATCACAATTACTTGCTAATCCGGACATACAAGCACATCTCAGACCAAAACGACGGTTTTGTACCAACTATCATCAGCGGCTACTTCAGCTTCCTGGCAATTCTTCGTGCAGAGTACCACAGCATCCTGCAAACTCATACTCAAGTAGAGCAACCAACTTTTTGCATTTCTGCAAGGTAAGGCTTATACATATGACCAATGTGGCCCCGAATCCCGCTTTGTTTTATCTTCTGAGGTCCATAAGTTTGTATTGCAGATGCTTTGCTATGTCACCCTAGATTATGAAGCTGAGCTATCATTAGAAAATAGCAAAATTTCTGTTGAGTCATCTAAAGGTAATTGGATAACACTTTCCGTAGAGCGCTTCAGAACAGAAGAGGTTTTGTTCCAGTTTGTTATGCCGCTGGCTTCAAGATTCAACACGCGTCAAACATAGTTAATGACGAAGCTGACAGGACAACGGCCAACTATAGAGAGAACAAATTAGGTTTTATGACAAAGCTTGCAGTTGTTACTGTCATGATTACAAAAATTAGGTTTTAGGAGTTAATTTTTTTCCAAATCTTTTAGATTATGCAATTTTTCCTTAGATGTTTATTTTTCTATATTGAATCTGCTAATTTCATCGACATAAATTAATTGTTCTGATTTTTGTTGGGTAAATTCTTTGTGTTGCAAATTCTTTTCTGATTTGCCTATCTACAACTTTTTCTCCTCCAAGTTTGTTCCTTTCTGCAAGAACTTTAATTTGTTTGAGAGGCTTACTACTGTGAGACCTTAACAGAAAATAGGAGCTGCAATTTTTGTAAACATTATATAGTGACATATCCTAATTGATGCGTTAAGTATTAGTTTTCTTCGTGATTTACATTTGTAACAATATAGTGACAAGTTTGTACTCTATAGGTAAGATATGTAGTTCACTGGATAGTCGTAGTTTTACCAAGTGAAAGTTCATAACACATATAAGGTTGAATCAATAATACTTTGTTCATCCCGGACCTATCCTTACTAGTATAATAACATATGGCTAACAATAACGTACGACTGTAAAATAGTATAATCATTAATAATTGTGAAAAATTGTAATAATTCACGAGCAAAAGAACTAATGCTGCATGTTCAAAATACTTGGTCATGAGTATTGCAAGAAATGAAATCAATATTTATCGGCAATTGGAACCAAAAATGTTACTAAGCCTTTTTTAAAATATGATTCTTTAGCTAATAAATAATATTCTTTTTTGCAATTTATATAGTATGAAATTCCTATGGTTTAGATGGATTGATTTATTTAAGAAGATCCTTTACTTCTTTTGTTGACTTCAGAGAGTTGCGACTTGCAAGTAGATCCTTAAATTTGATCAAAACACATATTTTAAACGCCCTTTGATCATTAATCAAACCTAATTGTACTTGATTGGAAAAAATACACAAACCACACGTGGAGCATGAATATGAATAATTTTGATTTTAAAAGGACCAAAATTAGAATAAAATAAATAATAAATATTGAGACTATCCGACATTATGATTTGAGATTGTTTTGCATAGATTATATTGATATTATTTCTCTCTTCAAAACCTATTTAACAGCCAAAAACAAGCAATTAATACTCCCTAAACATGTCTTAATTCTATTGCTTAATGGTTAATACTTTCTGATTACCGAATTCGGAGATTCGAGATTAACACTAAGCAAAGGAGCTTAATCATCTTTTTGTATCTGCTCTCTTTTTCGCCCCTGGTCATAAATTTATCAATCTTTTTACCTCTTTGTTCTCTGCACAATCGTTTTTTTTAAGAGTGAAACTAAAGTATCTCAATTTACGTGAACTATCACTAATTATTTATTAAAATTCACCTCAATTATCAATCATTCACCTTTTCTACTTCAAATATATCACTATTATTTTGGTAGAAAAGTGAAAACTTGATCGTTGAGACATGTTTTGTTGAAAAATAGTTGACGTAGGAAAATAACATAACTAGATGTATTTTGACCACGAACATTTTTTTTTATATAGAAAAAGACAAATATATGTGGATTTTATCCCAAGGTTCCTTTTTCTTTTTATTTATTTTTAGGAATATTTAGCTTAAATTTGTGAATTTCACATGGTTCAGTAAGGGTGACAAAAGTTTCAATCTTTTTGTTAAACATGGAATTGCTTTTTCTCAAAACATGTTGTATGGTCTTGAAAATTTGGTTTTGAAAATTGTAGTTCAATATAAGTTCTAATTCTGATAAAAATAATTATTTTTGTGATTTTATTAATTTATATTGTTAATTTTATGTCTACACATCTAAAAATATCTCCTAAATTTATAAAAACACATTTTTAAAAATTTACCATACTTTTCACACCATGCGAAATGTAGTTAGTTTTTAATTTTATTTGAATTCAAAGTTCGTTTGTCTTGCTTTTTAATATCTCCAACAAATCTATTTAAAAAGTTCATCATCCCCACCGGATCCGACTCCTCTCCATTTCCCCCAAGTTCTAGCTTGGATTAGAGACACATGTCATAATTTAGAATTAATGGTTAAAATCTAATTGATTAAAGCAAAGGCCTAACCATAGTTATTTACTTCCATATATTTGTTTCTTAAATATTTTTGCAATACATTATATTTTTTCTAAATATATTAAAATCTTTTCATTACTGTCTGCATACATATTTAAAACTTTTATTAAATATTTTACTTTTTTGAAAAAAATTATAATACAGTTAAACGTTTTTGGTATTCTAATAGAATATTAAGAGCTACAATATCTATTGAGCAATATGAACTCCATTTAGGGAGTAAGAAAGAATTTAAAGTTGAGTGACAAAATTTATTTTACTCCTAAAATAAAAATAAAAAGTCAGGTCACAAATTTTTATTTTTTATTTGGCAAATATTATTTGAGAAATGACAAATGTTTGAAAAAAAAGAGAGTAAAAAATCAGCAAAAAAATTACTCAAGTAATTAAGAAAAGAAATTATTTTAAATATATTTAGGAAAAATATAATATAAATCTAAAATTATTGAATTGCAAAAATATTTAAGAAGCAAACAAATAAAAGTAAATAACTATGATTATGAATTTTATTTTAATTAATTAAATTTCAACCATCAATTCTAAACTATCACATGTGGCTTGGTGGGGATGGGAGAGAATCCAAATCCTTATTTTTCTTTTCTTAATATTTTTTTCCGGTATAAATAATTGTGTAAACTGTTTTTTCACTTTGAAAAGAAAAAACAAAAAAATAAAAAACTTTTTTTTTTCGTTTTCTCCCAAATCTCTGGAAAAAATCTTGTAATATTAATTTTAAAAAAAGAAGCGAAGATCATCGATCCAGCAGCAAAGTCAATACGCTTATGATTGGTAATTTCATCAATCCCCAGATTTAACTTCAATTTCAATTTTTTTTATTTATGTGAATCTTCGTTAGAAATTGAAATTGATATATTTATGTTGATTGAGTGAGAATGTGCTTTCTTGTTTATCCGAATTTTTATCCTTCCACTTGTATTCCAAATTGTTTTTTTAGGTAATGGATGCACTTTGTCAATTTAGTAATATTTGAGGAATTTTGAGTTCATCGTGTCGGGCGGAGCTAGAATTTTGAGTTTATGAGTTATGAATTTTAAAAAAGGGAAGTTTAATGGGTTTTGGCTCAATAAGTTATACATATTAAGTGAATTTTCTTCATTTTTTTTCTTCTGTGTTTTGCTTGGGTTTGATGCACTTGAACCGATGGTCCACGAGGTAGTAGTAAGGTCTGCGGAAATAGCCTCTTACTTCCATGAGGTTGTGGTAAGGTCTGTGTACACTCTACCCTCACCAGACCTCACTTAGTGGGATTTCACGGGGTATGTTGTTGTTGTTGTTACATATTAAGTGAATTTCTTAATATAAATATAGGGTTTTGACCAAAACTATTGAGCGTGTAGCTTAGCAATTTTGTTAAGGGTGTTTAAAAGCTTAGTATATAGTTTTAAAAAAGTTGTTTTGACCCTGTATATGCAGTATTATTTTCTATATGTACAATGTAGTTTTTCGACGAAGGCTCTTTGAGTGACCACCCTTGAGTCAATGTAGCTATGCCATTGGCTAACACACCCTTGTCAGGTGTTCTTTCATGATGGTCTTTGATAAGTTTGAAGTGGAAACTGTTGTGGGGTGAATCCCTTTTAAGAATCTTTTTAAGTAGCTTAAGCATGTCATGAGTCAAGGAGACCTCCTAAATTATTTATTAAATTTGCTTTCTTGAAACTTTTGAATTGAGAATACCTTGTTGTTTTCTATGGTTAAGGGACACAAAGTACAATGTAGGGGCAGGTGCCAAACATGATCATAAATTAATGGAAATTTGCAGTTAGCATGGCATACTGCATAAGTTAGTATCACTTGCGGGAAGAAGAAATGGGGAGGGCATTAGAAACTTGTTAGGCTGCATCAGTGTAAAATCCTAATGAGTGAGTGCTAAATATATCTAAGAGTCCATCATCTGAACAATATAATATTTCACTTTACTCTGCACATTTGAATCGTTATATCAAATTTGATGTCGATCTATTTCTCTACTCCCCTTATGAATATCATTTACTCTTTTTACAGTCTCTACACTTCAGGCGTGTCTTTCTTGCATTGAATAGTTTCAGAAATTTTAAAAGAACGTCTTCAAAACCACACATCTTTGCAAACTTTGAATGATTTGTTTTAAGTAACATAGAAGTTGCGGTTCTTCAATTTATTACTCAGAGAAGACTTGAGCGTAAATTCAGTTATTTCTTCTATTTGTCATATGTTTTGAATTGGTCAATTAGATATTTGAGAGCAGAAGTCATACGATTTCAAGATAATCTAAAAGATTAAAGAGCATTTTAGAAATGGTACTCGCTATCTCTCTTTCTTGAACCAGTAAAGGAAAGCCCCGAGTTATTGGAGCCGAAAGCAGGAAAGTCCCATAAAAAAGGCCTTGTTGGAATCCACTGTCCAAATAACAGAAAGTACGAACATTTGTAATATTTCCCACTTCAAATCTGCAAATTGAACTCTTACCATATTGTGTTTTTTGTAGTTGTATGCTTGTGAAAGCAAGATGGTGAAGTTGACTATGATTGCTCGTGTGACTGATGGTCTTCCTTTAGCGGAGGGGCTGGATGATGGCCGTGATATTCAAGATGCCGATTTCTACAAACAGCAAGCCAAGTCCTTGTTTAAGAACCTCTCTATGGGCCAGATTGAGGCATCAAGGATGTCTGTAGAAACTGGGCCTTATATTTTCCAGTATCCTTTTATTTTGTTTCATTTAACATCTTTTCAATGTTCTTTGTGTGATTAAATCTCTCATATCAATGCTTACCGAAGTTTCTCAAAGTGCAGAGTTATTTTTTTGAACTTTATTTTGTGAGATGGGTACAAGCTAAGTAACAAAATGGTCACTCCAAATAGCTTCTCTGAATTACTCATAGTAGAGATAATGATGTGTAGCAATTTCGATCTCAGAGAATACTGCAGAATTTTGTCACTTTGTTTATGCACTTGTTAGTGAAACTGCATTTTTTTAATTTTTGGGTGAAAGCAGGTCCATTAGAGAGTCCTGAACAGGTTTCCCCCCTTTCTAAAAATAAGTAAATAAAATTATTTGCCAACTATTGCCAGTGTCTTTGTTGCAGCTATAATCAGCACAGCTTGTGGGAGAACTGTAATTTGGTATACGCATGAGTAGATTATATAACATCTGCAGTTAGTGTTGCAAAATTTAGGGACAACTAGGATTTTTCATGGTATTAGCATAAGTAATGAGGGTTCCTTGGGTTGACTTTGATAAATTTACAAACCTGGTAATGTGCTGGGATAGTTCTTGGTAGATAATTTTGCACAAGATATGGTTCTCTACAAATAATATTCAATCAATTTTACCAATAGTTGCATCATGGGCGGATTAAAAATGAACAAAAAACCTGCCTTGATCCTTTTCTTCCAAAGTACCCACAAAATAGGCAAAGGGATGAAGAATGGATCCGGCTAAGTGCTTTCGATGAACCAGGAGGGATCTTTTTTGTTTTCGTATTGGCAGACTTATTTCTCTTATCACGTATCCCTCTTCTTTATCTTTTTCAACCCAATTTCTTTCTCAATCTAAAGTAGTAATTTGAATGACATCTACTCTTGGATACACAGGAACTGATAAATTCATTTTGGAAAAGCAGAAGCTAATAAATAAGCACACTACAATTTGTTCTTATTATTAGTGGTCTGTTTTCTGGCTTTTTTCATGGTATGTGTGTTACCTATGTGAGGACTATGTATTCATTTTCTGGATTAATAGTAATATCAATCTTGTAGATGGAAGTGTGATTTATTGAACAAAATCTCATGGATGGCTTGCATTCCAAGTTACACTTTGCTTCTACTACTCTTTCCTTTCTAAAATAGATGCACTTAACTACTGCTTTTTGACACTAAAAGAAGGTGTTCTCTGGGGATTTAGTGTTCTCTTAACTGGTTCACTCAGTTATAACATTGAAGGCCGTGTTTGTTATTTGACAATGTGTGACCGCTCTTATCCCAAGAAACTTGCTTTTCAATACCTAGAAGACCTCAAGAATGAGTTTGAGCGTGTCAATGGGAGTCAAATCGAAACTGCTGCTAGGCCATATGCTTTTATTAAATTTGGTATGGTCTTGTCTTTACGGTGCACTGTTGTAATATCTAATTGATCTTCTGTTGAATACTAATCTTTTTTCTTTCTGCAATTTGTATTTTTCTTGTTTCAAAAAGATACATTCATACAGAAGACAAAGAAACTGTACCAGGACACCAGAACTCAGCGCAATATTACAAAGTTGAATGATGAACTCTACGAAGTTCATCAGATAATGACTCGAAATGTACAAGAAGTTTTAGGTGTTGGTGAAAAGTTGGATCGTAAGTTTCTCATTCCAATGTTTGCCTGACCTCATTACCTTCTTATAATATCTGGAAAGTTTCGTGTGCCATTGTTAGCACTACCTTATTGATCTTTCAAATATCTGTGATATTACTAATCCTCAATGTCCTGCTCTGTCAGTTTGGCCTTGAAAAGCTACCAAATGCTGTCTGACAGCTTCTTTATTTATAAACATTTTATGTTTTTATTCTCTGTCATTTTCAAGTTTATTGTTATCCTGATATAGTTAGTGGTAGTGCTTATTTGTTATGTTCAAGGAGTCTCTTGCAAATATGAAACTTCATAGTATACTTCCTAGTTCAGTTATAAAGAAATTTTGAGCTCCAAGTTTTTCATTAATGGTGCACCAGAAACAAGTTGAAAGGAGTGTGGAAGACATGTCCATTATGATTTATTCATCCTCCTTAGACTTCATTAACTTTTTTTAACAACTGACTTTGGTGTGAGGTTCCTCTACATTGTGATATAGCGTATATTGGTATATATGCCCTTTGTCAATAACCAAAACAAAACTGACTTTTCTGTAACTTAATTTGATGACTTAATATTGATTCCTCTTTTTTTCTCTTTGTTATGTGCTCATTCATCTTTGATCATAAGGCTACCAAGCTAAGGCCTTCATGTATTTCTTTATTACATATGTTCTTTCTTCTCACGACATGATTAGGACATACAAAGGACAACTATTATCAGATGAGCTATAATCTTAGAAATCCTTATATTCTCAAAAAGTAGGTTGTTGCTCTGCTACTCACTTGTGGTGCAGAGAGTGGAGCAAAATCAACTTGTATTAAAATAAAGTTAAGAGTTGTGTCAGCTGTGACATTTTATTGCATCATAGAAATAAAAAACACAACTAAGAACACACAACAAAAGAAAATGATTTATATGACTGATACAAACTAATTCGGGTTAAGGCTTATTAATTGTTATTACAATAGTTCCTGTGTTTGTCAGGAGTCTTCTTATTCTAGTTAGAGACTCGTATGTCTGTTTAGGGGTAAAGTGAGATATAAGGAACCTCCAGTTTTAGAGAACTCTTATTTTTCTTGAAAGACATCATTTATTTATTTAATTTTTATGCATGATTCTTATTTATTTATTTTTTTGAGAAATCTGAGGGTTAGTTGGAATGAAATGCATCTGAATAAAGAGGAACTTTACAAAGATTCTTTTAGTTTACCCAACTCATTTGGAACTGATATAGTTGATTGATTGAATGTAAAACCAAAAGCACATGTATGTTTTTCTGTCAGTCATAACTCATAAGACTTGTAGCTTTAAAATATATCAACAATCTTACTCTTCTATGATATACATTTGTTATATAGTTGGTTCTCCCTCTTTTTTCATCCTTCTTATGTTCATCGAACATTCTCCCGTTGTTTATGTTTGATATTAGAGATTTGATTGTTCAAATATGAAATTGTGCAGAGGTCAGTCAGATGTCCAGTCGCTTGACATCAGAATCCCGCATTTATGCTGATAAAGCAAGAGATTTAAACCGTCAGGTTAGTGTCATGGAAAGTTTGAGATGATACGTTCATATTCTTGGCCAAAAATGTACTTTTATCCTTTAAAAAAAGTTTACTTTCTACTTTGCATTAGTTGGAATGAAAAATGGTGATGTAGGAGGATTTAAAGGAACATGAAACTTGGGATTTGTTCTTAACTTTCTGATGTGCACACAGATGCATATGATGTAGGACCACTGTAGAAGATTATGGGGCTCAATATGTCCAAGTTTATTGTGGATGAAAATAAACTAATGTTCAACGGAGTATTTGGAGGCCTGTTGATAGCATGTGCTTTGATTCTTATCACATGCTATTAAGAAATAGAATGGAGAAATGTTTAACTATGATTATCACCAGCAAGGACTTCTGTTTCCTGCCATTGCTCTTTGAATCTCGCACTTAGTTTGGTCCTCATTTGTGCTTTGACTAGGACATACAACAGAAAATGGCAATGAAACTTTGACCATGTCTAGTTCTAGTTTTAGGTCCCATTTCATTTTCTTAAGATTCAATTTGAATCCTAAACAATTATGACGGTTTGTTTTCTCAACATTTGAATATTTAAAACATGTAAAAGGGCAGCTCAGTGCACAAAGCATCCCGCGTTCAAACAGTGTCTAGGGAAGGGCTGCACCCCATGGGGTGTGATGCAGAGTGTAGACTGTCTACCCTAATACAAACATTAGTGTCTGCTTTCATGGCTTGAACATGCCTTTATTTAATAAATTAATAATATAAAATTCAAATAAAATATTGACGAGTAATACTATGTCAATAAATATTTGTAAAAAATCATATGGTGATTGGTGGTGGTGCTTGTGGGTGCCGACTGGGGTGGTAGTTGGTGGTGGTGATTCTGGGGGGTAGTTAGTGAATAGTAATAATGGTGGCTGATAGTATTAGTTAGTGGTGGTGGTAGTTGTTGGTGGCCATTGATAATTGTGGTGTAGGATAGTGATAGCTAATGGTAGTGGTGGTTGATAGTGGTGATTGTCGGTAGTAATTGGTGGTTGTGGTAACAGTGGTTGATGGTGAGATTATAAATGGTGACAAGTGGTGGTGGCGGTTGACTATGGTGATTAGCAGTTGTGGTAGTTGATAATGAATAGCATCGTAATGATATTAAAACTTTGTTATATATTTTACTCATTTAGATCTATTCAGACCTGTAACTAGTGAAAACAAGAATAACACACTTATTGATTGAGATTTGAAGTATTATGATTCGGGTCTAAAAAATAAATGCACTTAATGACTAAAATTTGAATATTAAATCCTACTATCAACGGATATGGTGTAGTGGATGGGGCTGCTCCTTCCTTAACTAGAGGTCTCGGGTTCAAGCCCTGGATTTGGAAAAATCCTGGGTAGGGAGTGCAAAAATTTGAATTTTAAATCCTTGCACTAGCATAGACATGCAGTCATGTATCACATGTGGATGGTCTTGCCTCCTGTCTTAATCAATATGCTTCTTTTATTTTCTTATTTGCAATCACTTTAATATAGTGACTCATATGTTTATTAACTTTAGGCTCTGATTCGGAAATGGGCACCCGTGGCTATTGTCATTGGAGTTGTTACTCTCCTCTTCTGGGCGAAAAATAAGATTTGGTGATGCGACTATCCCATATGCAGCTTAGAGAAGTGTCATTACTCTTTGATACTTACTGATTTTGCAACATCAAACTGTGTGGCAACCGATAGATCACTTAACATTTCAAGGTGACTACCGTGTTGTGTGCGCAATGAAGAGAGCTTTTGGAAGATGAGACACTCAAGCTATGAGTTTGATAATGTAAGACAGATAAACCATGATGAGCCATGTTGGTAAACATTGACAAAATGATATCAATCTTAATCCTCAGCATATTTTGTATTGCTAAACTTTAAAATTTGAAGTGCAACATTTATTGTAGTGCTGAGTTGATCAGTTGCAACTTTTGATATGTTAAAATACAGCTATAAGATTGCAGTGTTGATGTTTAGTTCTTTTCTCTTCTTCTCCATTTATGTATGCTAATGAAGTTCTGGTGTTTATACACAAGTCTCGATTATAATCGAGTTGAAGCAAGAAATACTGACTGCTGTGCAACATTTTCCAGAAAAATGCCAGTGTTGTGCAACGATTCATTGCCTTCTAAAACCGAAAAACCAAAATTTGATAAAATCAAACTGAAGAACCGGACATCCACCCCAAAAGCTAACCACAACAGGACTACTTGCATTTGCAGTATTCATTTCGACAAAACACCATTAGGCTGGTCAAAGTAACAAAAACAGTTCCTCATTAGTGTGGAACTTTCATTCTAAAAGGGATTTACTTGTGCTTTTAAGCTTAACTTTACTAGCTTCTTAAAAAGGAAAGAAATACGAGGAAATAGACATTTTTTCTTTTATTGAGAAAAAATTGACCCAAATAGATGAAATATTTGAGGAGAGTGAAAGTTCTGACTTAGGTAATTCTTATGAGAAAGAGTTCTCATGAATAGGAAATAAGTAGAGGACATTTTGGAAAATTTAGTACTTGCATATAGAGTGAATAAAAAATGAAATATTTAGTGATTAATCCATTATATTAGAAAAAACCAGAATAAAAGGGAAATAAGTTTCACTTAAATCAAAGCAGAGGAAGTATTGCTCATCTTGCAGATGACTCAGATTATCTAAAAAAATTCTTAATATGCAACTATAAGCTAATAGCTTTTCTGACTTAATAAAGCAAAATTTCCCTTAACTCGAATTTCAATAGACTACAAAAATAAATACACACATCCACTTAAATTTACACAAGCCTGACAAGTAATTAAGCCTCTTCTGGTCTTCCATCTTAAACAAATCAAGAAGTTGGTTCCTCCTCAAGCTCCATTTTGTGTATTGTATATTCCCTCTCAAACAACAAAAATTCCTGCATGAAATGTGAGTTTCAACTTTAGTAGCAGTATCTAATTATTGTATAGCAGAAATTAACCGAATAACAAGATAACAATATTAAGCAATGATTTCATTATTGTGGTTCCAGAGAATCCAATCGTACTCTACAAATGGTTGCACACTCTAATCTACACTAGCAAATCATGGTGTTATTATCTCAAAACATCCTGCTCATGACAAACAGCGGAGATATGTCGGCTGTAACAGAAGCTAGATATTACTGTCATTAAGCACTAAGGATGTGACCAGATGATAAATGAAGTCGGAGCTGTGGGGAGGATGAAGGGAATCAATCACGGTCACACAACTTGGTCAACAGCATCAAAGGTTAGGAATAATAACTACTTGGGCTTGAATAAACATTGGAGAACAGATAGAAAATCTAAGTAGTTCTGGAAGAGTTTGTGAGTGATGCATGAGAGCTGATGCAACTTTGGCAAACACAACAGTCATCTTAGTTGATAGGAAAGCTCTATTATCTCTTTTCCACTGCATAAAGGGTAGAAGCCTGAAAGTTAGCTTACCTGCAACTGATTCTGACTGAAGAGATGAAGAAATCCAATTTCAGGATCTGTGACAAGGTTGATCAACTCATCATGGTTATTAGGTGGATTACCAGACTCCACGAGTGAGACAGAAACCTACAAAAGAGCTCAACAGATCAGAACTGGGAGAACAAACAGATACGTCCTTGTAGTTTTTGCTCTATTCAAACGTTCAGAATTGTCAAATAAGATAATGAAAGTTGTGGTTAGCATTTGATTTAGATGATAGCGCACACAATATTATCAATAGTTAGAAACTATTAGTTCCAATAGAAAGCTCACCTGCATACACCGCAGAATGACTTCAGGGATGCAACACCTACGACAAAGTCCATGCACTATGTAGGTTGCAGGGCCTCCAATAGAACCATCACCATCAGAATACCAAGCATCTAATCGAGATATCTCCATTGTAACTCCAGCTTGAAAGCGAACAAGCTCCCCTTTAACAAGAAACAACATAATTTAAGAAGATGAAGGGGTAATATATAAAAGAGAAAGGGAAAGGGAAAAAAAAAAGCAATGAGCTTCATCAGAATTCCCGTTTACAAATCATGCCAACTAGCGCATTCTCATGCAAATGAGCTGTAGAAGAAGTTAGTACTAGCTTAGTAAAAAGAACTGCCTCCTAGTGATTCTATGGTCCATAAGGTCAAGAACGGATTAAGATCTGCATAATGAGATTGACTTCAAATGGTAAAAGATCTGATGATGTGTTTTGGACTTATGGTGAACTTAGAACTATAGAACAGGGGTAAAAACTACAAAAGTCAAACGATCAAAGGTTTTGACAGTAGCAGATACTCATACAACACCATGTCAATCAAGAGATTTGATATCACTTGAGTTTCAACGAACCTCATTGGATTCATTGGTCATAATATACAGGTAAGATTCTTTCCCAAAAGTCGGGGTCATTGTCTTGATCCATATATGCTATGAAGAAAAAACACTAAGAGGATACTAATTAATGATAGTACAGTTCATAAAGCAACTAGACATAGGGAATTGAGAAGCATGTTCAACCAAATGAAATACAGATGTTATAACTTTCTTTATGTGCAATATATGAGCACAAACTATATACTGAAAATAAAATAGTACCTAGACACTAGCAGAATAACTATTTGAATCCATTCATTGAGCACAATCTATATACTGAAAATAAAGTAGTACCTTGACACTAGCAGAATAACTATTTGAATCAATTCATAGACTCATTCCCAAGAAGTCAGCAGTACCATACTATGACCTTACTTTCTTTCCACAGAGAGCAAGAGAATCAATATTGACTGATCATACTTGAGCTTAGCAGAGTTTTGCCAACATAATAGTCAGATGGTGTGACAAGATTTAAAGAGGTTGATTCGAATTCAAAATGACACTGGGTTCATTAAAAATGTTTTTCTAGAAAATTATATTTTCCTTTACAAAATCATTCTCCAATATTTGGTTACCATAAACTGTGGAAATATATCTCTTGAAAAATATTTTCTTACAAGGTAAATATTTTCCACCAACTGGGAAACTGATAGAATCACACATGGACAAAAGTCATTTCTTATACAATATCCCAACTCTTAATCCATAACAGCAGTTCTAATCAACACGACATTGTAGTCAACTGGAATTTGCACTCTGGTCTTCCAGGTTTGCACCCACTCCAATGTGGTGGAATTTGTTGTTCAAGTAAATATGTCAATTTTTTGAGAGGTGCTAAAACAGTGAGTAAATCAAACAAAATGTGGTCTAGGAAGCATTAAGTAAGCACAGGTGAAATGAGAAAGTAAACACAGATAAAAAAGGATAGAAAAGAAAACACATAAAATTGGAGGAAAGAAAAGAACAAAGAAGATGTTCCACCAGAAAACTAATTGATAACTACAAATGAAGATTAGGCTAAAGCAATTTAATATCAAGGCCTAAAATACACAACCCGAAACTAATTGAAACTAACTAGTGGCAAAAAGGGAGAAAAAGATGAAATGCAAAAGAATGACACATAACTAGTGATATTTGAAAGCGCACAGAAATTTGCAGCTTAAGATGAATGTGGTCCTAAAAAAAGCTCCAAGAAGACAATCGATCAACAGGAGGCTTTGCCAAACTGGGAGAAGGTTATTCTTAAAAGTTAAAACAAGTTCATCAACCAGAGAATCTCATACCTTTAAAACCAGCAGCAAGCATTGCAGCAAGAATACCACCATCATGGAACTTATGTGACCCAAGCCCATCGTTTTCTGTTGCTAAGCAGCGCAATACAACCTCAACACAATAGTTGTCTCTGGACGATATAGAGACACTCACCTGCACAAACATTAACACAATGCCAATCACCAACATTATTATGTTTATGTTGAAGGTCAAAGTCTTCCTAAAGCATAACCTTTTGCTTGAATCAGTGTTTAATTTACTGTTGATTTAAATATTTTGTTTTAACAGAAAAGCCTAATAGGTTGCTTGGATTGGCTTATTTTGAGTGCTTTTAAGCCAAAATAGCTCTTAAGCACTTTTGGAGTGTTTGGGTAAATAAAGTGCTTATAAGCACTTGGTTTAAGCTAAAATGATAAAAATAAGCCAAAAGCCATAACAAGGCTAGAAACCCACTACAAAGGGTATGAGCCTTATAGCTGGATGAGTATGTGTACTATCTATTACTCTTATTTTAGTTAACCTGCCTAAATATCAGTGTATGGACTATCATATTCTATATAAATCGTTACACCAAAAGGCCATAACCAAGACAGATGTATTCATGTTTAAGTACATTTGCTAGCTAGCATGTCCATTCCGACATCCCCAACACCCCTTTTCTGGCACTGATATCTTGGCAGAGAGATTCCATTTTACCATTTCTAAAGCTCACTAAAACTTGTCTACTTTTGATAGGTACCTTGATTAATGGAAAATTAGACCAACATGGTCCAAGACTCCAATTATAATTAAAAGTTAGACACAAAAAGAAAGAGAGGACACTCATGTATCGGACATGTCCTCACTGGAAAAATTAGCATACCATTATTTGGCGATTTAATACTTCTTCCTCACTGACAGAAGAGTAAAGGGCGCTCATTAACGTTGTACATAAGGTGGCATCGGGAGCCATACAATCACCAGCTGATGAACAAAGCATCGCAGTTGCATGCAACTCCAGGAAAACAGGTTCATCACTTTCCAATACGTGATCTTCAGTTGGAACTAACCATGGATTTTCTTGCCCTAAGATACACATTCAGCACATTAATTTTGTGGAAGCCCAACAATTCAACTGGTAAAGGCATACACTTGAGAAGAAATTGAGAGCCAATGTGTGGGATAGACGAAGAAAAAATGAGAGACTTTGCAAGGGGTAGGCAAATCATTTATGAGAAAGCAATACATCATCTAAGACTAGATATCTTCTGAACAATTCATTCTCACAGAGGTTACGTTCACTCACGTTGTAGAAGCGAGAGTGATGTATCAAGAGTTTCTCTAGCTGCTATAACTTCCTTCTGCTTTTCCTCATCTGAGAGT